ATGTAAACATAGTTTGATGGGGCCCCCGGGAACTTGGAACCCTAGGCAACTGCCTAGTATTGCCTAATGGTAAATCCGTCCTGCACTGGAAAAATGATCTAGAAATAAGTTAATATTTCTCAAATTAAGGGTATTCACCCTTAATTTGAGTCGGTAAATGAGATGATTTGCCAATGGGATGAGTATTTTTACTCTTAAAATAAGATATTTAGATAAAATGCACTTGAAATAGACCTTGGAACAGTGTTTTCTTATTTTAAATGTAAATTGTCTTGTTCCATTGGCAAAATGTCTCTTTTACCTTTTCAGTTCAAGAACAAAAGCACTAATTTTAAGAAAAAATGACTTTTCTAGATTTAGATTTTTCCAGTGTGGTATCAGTGTCTGCTTACTGGATAATTGCTCAGGAACTCAGGAAAAAGTTTGGCCAAAAATGATAAGGAATTTAATTAAAAAATATGAAGGCAATAAATGATTTTTTTTTAGTCTTCAATTTTAAGATAACTAAGAAAATTTTTTGATGAGTTTTGCTTAATGTTTTATTTTGAAAGTGTGAGGTGTGAACTTCCGCTAAATCCTGCTGACGTGACGCAGCTCTTCCAGCAGGGAGTAGGGTGAGAGGAGGAGGAGGAGAAAAAGCTTTTCTCCACTCTTGTTTCGGAGCCCCTGGAAGGAAGGAGAAGCAGCTGGATGTGGGCTCATCTTCTCCCGGCTCTCTCCTCGGTCTCTCCCGTCGCTGCGGACTCGGACATGCAGCTTTAACCGAGGAAAGGAAAACAATAAACCGACCGTGTTTGTTTCTGCCGTGGGAATGTCGACCAACTGAAAGTTCAGGGACACTTTGAGGCTCCAGTTCGGTCCGGTTCGGGTTCCTCACAGCAGGATGTGAATCTGGGAAGTAGTCCAGGAGCCGAGGAGCGACAGGAGGAGTGAAATTAAAGCGTTTTTTAGGGAATATCAGTGATTGAGAGGTAGGTCCTCAGACACTTTCTGTCACTTTTCAACCGCTGCTGTCATCAATGGCAGAAACTTCTCCTTTAAACTCACTTTCTGAAAAGTTTTAAAGCTGTTTTTACAAAGTTTTTTTTTATAATTGAGGCTCTGCTTAAAGAAAATGTGTCTATTATCTAAATAATGACTTAAATGTTTCTTAGAGAAACATTATTTAAACATTTACCCACTTCTTGGATTAAACTTTAATGGATAAAGAAACATAAATCTGATCTATTGACCACAATCCTGATTATTGGAGCAGATAAAAGTGAAATAATTATCTAAAAATGCTGTTTATTCAGCTGCTGGGATGTTTCTTGGATCAGGAAAATGTTAATAAAAGGCTCAAACTCTTTACTTGTGTTCAAACTTGTGAAATAATCTTTAATAGACTCCAAGTTGAGAACATCTGCAGGGTTTTCTGACCCAGTGTGTATCTGAAGGGTTTGTTCTCACATTCAGCTCATTTATTTCACATTTTGACAGAGCTTTGGCTTGGAGAGGCAGGAAGTACTTTGGATTTTTTCACATGCATAAACATTAACCCCTGCAGAGAAGTCACATAGATTAGACCCAGAGGGAAATGTAACCTCTGCATATCAGAATTAATCAAAGATCATTCCCAATCATCATATTTCCCTCTAATTAATCTCACTTTATATGTATGTTAGGGCTGCTACTATTGATTATTATTCAGTTATTTTATCGGTTATTAATCAGATAGCTAAAGGTTACTTAGAGAAGACTTTTTACAAAATTAAACCAGCTGAAACTAAAAGTTTTCCACATAGGAGAATAGGGATAGAGCATAATGACAGACATAAGTTATTTTTTTTCTCTTAAAGGTAAAATATTTATTTATTTTACAATTTTGGTATAATAACTGTTGCTCTGTCGCCTAAAGGCCTTTTTTTAGAGTCTCTGAACTGCAAAAAAGTAATTTTTTCTTAAAATTGTTTCATTTTTTCTTGAATTGAGGAGGAAAGTGAGACATTTTGCCAATGGAACTAGACAATTTACATTTAAGATAAGAAAAACAATTGCGTTGTCTTATTTCAAGTGCATATTATCTAATTATCTTAATACTAAGAGTGAAAATACTCATCCCATTGGCAAACTATCTCATTTACCTACTCAAAATAAGGATAAATGAACTCTATGTAAGACATTTTTACTTATTTCTAGATCATTTTTCCAGTGTATACTCCAGTTTTACTAAATTAGCTGGTGATTATATCAATAATTGATTAATCTAAATAATTGTTTCTGCCCTAATAAATACATATACACATTACAACACATTTGGCAGATGGAAACGGTAGATGTTAAAGATACCTTTGTCAGTCTTGAACATTTCAGTTGGTGTTCTGGATGATAATGATAATAATAATGGAACTATAATGGAGAAATCGAACCTCTGCATATCAGAATTAGGAAGATTAACTTCTCTTCATGGACTCAATCAGTGACAAACGTTTTTGCATAAATCTTTTAGCTTCTGTACAGCTGAGCTGCAGGTTTTAAGAGCCAACATGCCTTCATAACTCTTTTTAATTGTCTCTTATAATCTGGCTTTAGCAGTAATTTAGTAAAATGTCAGTTAATCCAGTCTAACCAGAACTCGCCGTGGTGGAAACCGTATGATTCAAAGGGGGACAGATCCAAACTTGTCTTTGATCCAGGATTTAAAGGACTCATGCGGGATGTTTGTAAGTTGGAGTGGATCAATTAGAGGCGTTGCTGGTTTGATCTGCAGGTTCCTGGCATCGCATGTTTAAGCTTGTTGAGGTAAAACTCTTGACCTTAATGATAAACCGTCTGAATCTGTCGACTGTTCTCTAGTAAATGAGTTTGTCTTTTTTTTTTAGGATTCAGTAACTCTTCCTGAAGGACATTACTTGTATATTTTTAATTAAATATCTCTTTCTAATTGGACTGCTCAGATATTGGGGCTATGCTACTTTATTATTAACTTTGTTTCTTAGCAGAATGACTGTAATTTGGAGGCGTTTTCCAAGCAGTAATGAGGATAATCATTGAAATCTTCCCATAAACTTGAAATATAAATATAAAAACCAACAAATTGAGCTACTTCACCTGCTCTACTTATTAAGATCTTAAAGACTTTTCCACCCACCCTTTGCCGACATCCATTTTTCCCTTTGCTGGGTCAATTAGGGGGCGGTGTCTGCCCTGGAGAGGTCACCATTTAATTAATAATCTAATTAACCTAACAGTCGTGGTTTCGGCCTGTTAGGGAGGACATGCACAGAGAAGTGCACCACCCACAACCTGCACAGGGGATTCATCTGCATAACTTCCTGATAAAAGAAAAATACTTTGTAGAAGACTCCTATTCAGTTTGATATTAGCATCTGCTGTGCTTGTTTATTTCCAATAAGAGTATTTACCCTTATGCTGATGATGTGAAGGTTTTCTGATTTTACTGAAATGATTCAGCAATTTCCAAGATAAAGTAATAGTCTTTTTAACCTGTTGCAATTTAATTTTATAACAAATATCCCTACTTTCAAAGAGTATGAAAGCATAACTATCACTGATTAGGCTATAAAACACCCGCCATTGTTTGGGACCGTTTATTTACAAAGGAAACCTGGTTAAAGATGAAATAAAATGGATCCTGGCAGCTCTGTTGGTTTCACTGTATTTTCTGTCTGACTGCCTGAAACCTGTTTGGGAGGAATGCTGCTGGTTGAGTAATGCAGCTCCTGTCAGAAAAACATTTTGTTCACGCTAATCTATGCCTCTGAGATCAGTTTGACTCCACTCAGCAGCTTGGTTGACTCATTTCGTGGTGATCGTGAGCTCATCTTTCTGTTCTTGTTGACTTTGGTTTTTATTTTTAAAAAAACAGCATATGTCCGCGTGCCGTCAGCAGGGGGTCGTGCCCTTCCCTGCTTTCTACTAAGCAAAGGGTCACGCTGTTTGATTCATCTTGCTGTCTAACAACCTTCAGTTCACCTCCTGCTGCCTGTAGACCCAAAACATCAGAACATTTTGCTAGAAAATCCTGTATTTTATAAATTTGAGCATCTTTTAAACCTTTTTGGAGGCTGCATAGATGCCTCCTGGTTATTTTGGAGTCTGTTCTGTTTGTCCAGCTGCTAATGAGGGCTTCACAGCTTGCTGTTGTTTGGGAGGCTGGGAGTGAAGAGCTGGGATTTAGGGAGCCAGTGTCCCTGATTGCTGATCTCTGCTCCTCCTCTGTCAGAAGTGAAACACCTGTGGCGCCGAGCATTCTGGGGGTTTGTTTGCAGGTGAATTTCAGAGGTAAATTGATGCGTTTGGTTTTCAGAGCTGTGTAATAACTGTGATTTTAATTGCACGGCTTGTTGTGTGGATGAGGTCCAGCGATGAGGCGGCGCGGTTCTTCCTGTCTGGGCCCGAGTTTCCACCGCGTTGAAGCTCCAATTAAGCCTCTCTGATGAAATGTGCTGCTTTGTGAAGCAGAGGCCCTACCGAGGAAATTTCTAAATCAAACCCTTAATGACGGCCCAGTTTGCATCAAAGATAATTCCCAATCATCATATTTCCGTCTCATTAGTCTCACTATTGTAACTTCTTAAAAGATATATATGAGGGCTGCAACTAACGATTACTTTGCAAATCTGTCGATTTATTTTTTTCAATTAAGTATCAGAGAGTCAAACGTTCCTTCCTACAAAATTAAACCAGCTGAAACTAAAAGTTTTCCACATAATAAGGAGTTATGGATAGACTATATTGACAGACAGAAAAGCTATTTTTTTCTCTTAAAGTTAAAATATTTATTTATTTACTTACAATTTTGGTATAATTACTGTGACACACATTTGACAAACGGAAACAGTAGATGTTAAAAATACTTTTGTCAGTGTTGAGCATTTCAGTTGCAGTTCTTTAAAAGTGTAAGTTCTAGCAACCAGATTTTTAGTTTTTCAGCTGCTAATTAATGAAGAAATAACACTTCTTTCTTCATGCTTACATGGAAAGATGAGAATAATCAGAATTTTAGAGTCTGGTGTGTAAACTGTGTGTCAATTTCCTCAAGGTTGGTTCTATAATAAATGGCATCGTGTTGCGTCTGCGTCTTGGGAGCTCGTCTCTGTGCGAAGAGGTGAGAAGAACAAGGTTACATGCTGACCTCCAAGTAAGGAAGTGAGGAATTAATGCATCGTTCTGGCTCTTCCTATGTGGCGTGGTTTTAGTGAAGGGGAGAAATAACAGCGGCCCTGAGCGAACAGAAAGTCCTGAGCCGTTCAGGAACCCCCCGCCGCCTCTGCTGCCAGCTCCAGACGCAGAGCTGAATGAATTAATTACTCTGTCACTCAATCATTTAGAGAGTTATTAATGGCCATAAATTCCTATATGAACTCAGAAATGAACACATCAGACCTAATCCAGACGTCTAACCATGACGGTTTAATCCTTTTGGATCATTTCCCCACCTTGTTCCTCAGAACTACGTAACCCTCCAGGCCTCAGGTCATTTTCTACAGCTGGTACAAAGTATTTTCTCTCCTCTTATAATTCTGGAGACAAACCACAGGCTTGTTAAGAATATTGTACTGTTAGAAGCCCCATTGCGACAAATCCTGAAATAATCTGTCAATTTTAATGTCATTTATTTCCCCCACTGTCAGGAAAGAGAGTTTTGCTCCCATGCGGCGCGTGTTTATGCTGGAGACGGCCGCTGATGGAGCCCAAATGGAAAAGGGGCAAAAGAGACGAGAGGCATTTCATGCGACGCAGAGATTATTCCCTATTGTTTCCTCAGTCTGTTTGCTACATTATGATTCTCAGGGAGCGAGAGTAAGAAAAAAAAAATCTCATCAACACACACCGCATTGTCTCGTCGACGGAACAATTTGCACATCAGTTTTGTCAGCATCACGCTTTTGCTAAACTCCCCAGAGTGCAATGTCTGCAGTCTTCCAACCGTGAGGCGTCATTTTATTTCACCCCAGATGGCCTTTAA